CATATGCATGCACCATGGTCAGCACAAGGTATCAAATTTTTCTGTACAAGAAAATCAATTTGTTTTACAATGGGTGAATGTATTTAGCTGGGAGATGTCAATGCAATAATTACAAAACGGCCTTCCATATCTGCTAATGTTTATAGAACAAAGTTAGAGCAAATTCTCTTGTTTGAAATGTATCGCTGAAGTACGGAAAAATCAAAGAGAAAGACTTAGAAACTACGTAACTAGGCCTATCAGCCAATGAAGTTAGTGTCACCTAAACAAAAACTCTATTATATCGTCCAATGTCCATTTAGCAGACATGGAAGCCGTTTTGTGAACAGCATACCACGGCATGTCAACTAACATTTTGTAGAAATAGGCATTTCGAGGAACCTTTCATCGTGAAAGGTACAGAAATGAAAAAGCATTGTTTCAGAGCTGCCTACCTGACAGCAGCAGGCATCTCACAAGTGCTCAATCGAATGAATCGTCCTTTCAAAGTCACTGTCGGCATTGATGGATCTGTCTATCGTTTTCACCCGTTCTTTAAGCGACTACTAGAAGAAAAGATTAATGTTCTTATAACCAAAGGAGTACGAGTGAGTCCCAACTCGGACAGCAGTTGTTATAATGAGAGCTGATGTACTTCATATTTCAGTACCAACTAATGCTATCAAAAGATGGCAGCGGTATTGGTGCAGCCGTGGTGGCGGCAGTTGCTACTCGTATGCGAAGGGAAAAGGAAAGAAAACGTGCCTAAACTCGAAAATAACATTGTTTGAGATCTACCAAATACCATTCGTCGACTCAAGCATCTGAATGTGTTTTTGGTCAATCCGCGTGAAATTTCACGCAATAATAAACATTCATCGGTAAAGCTATCGACATGGTTTGTTCACAAAATGTATTAGTACAAAGGTTGCTGTTGCAAGAGAGCACTAGGGGAGCACGGCAGAAAATGGAAAACATGATTTTCGTACTTGACCTACAATTAACTAGTTTATAAGCGTTTCTTGACAGAATAGTAGGTTTGTCTTTATTTTTTGATCGCTATAGTGGCCTCAAATGATTTGTGCATTGTAAAGATCGACCTCCTTGGCCCCTAGTAATCTCCCAAAAGTCGCCACAATGTAAAGACTAGGGT